TGAAATGTGAGCCTCCCTACCCTTTCTGAACCTCCCTTTCCTCAGCTACAGAACTTAAGACCTGTTTGTAACAAACCTTCTGAAGCCTGAACTCCATCCCAGAGCGCATGGCCGGTGATGGGAGCTCTGGAATCTATATGAACCACAAGGCTATGCCTCATGTGCCTGCAGCTTCCTGGGTTCCAAGAACGTTCCTTAGGATCCTTAAGGATTAAGAATGTTCCTTAGGATTTTTACTCTCTTGGAGCTAGGGGTTCTTGGCCAGAATATTTCTAAGAACATAAAATAAAGGAAAGGAAAAGAAAAACTCAGTCTGACTTCTTCCAAGTTTACCTTCCTTCTTACACACTATTGTGCACTTACATGTTCCATTTGAAATTTCCTTCATGTGAGTCTGAACCTAGAGACCCCACAGTTAGAGTAAGAATATCAAAGATGTCCTAAGTGTTTTCTCTGTGTTGAGTCTATCTCGGTGCCTCAGTCCAACCTATGAGCCCTCCTTTTTTGTTCTGCTTTGTTTTTGAGACAGGGTTTCTCTGTGTAACTTTTGGAGTGTGTCCTGGAACTCACTTTGTAGACCACGCTGGCCTAGAACTCACAGACATCTGCCTGCCTCTGCTTCCAGAGTGCTGGAATTAAAGGCATTTGCCATCACCGCCCAGCTGAACCCTCCTTTTAAAGGAAAGAGCAACATATGACTTGCCCAAGGTCACATAGGCAGTGGCAGGCCACACCAACACCAAACCCAGACACTCTGACTGGATAACCTGTGTCTGCCTCTAAACAAGAGAGAGCTGACTCAGGTGTCCACAAGGCTGCACACTTGCTTCTCTCGTTCTACCTCAACCCTCTTATCAAAGACTTTGGTCTTAGTTGCCAAGGCTTAACTGGGATTCGCAGAATTCTTTAACAACTAGAGGATGGGGAAAAAAAAAAAAAACCTGAGAGCACCAGGAGGCTAAGCACCCTTGTAAACCTTCACGAATTAGCCTCACTGCAAAGAACTCTTGGTGCCAAGATTATGAGAGGTAGCCAGACACCTGCTGTGAAGGAGACTCCTGTCTGAACTGTGTGAAGGCCAAGTCAACCTATAAGCCCTGCTTGCCAAGAACAAGTAACTTCACGGAATGCTGGGGGCTGCTGTTTATCCAAGATAAACAAGGTTGGTTGCCCCAACTGGAAAGGATGTGCTTGATCACACATAGGTGGGAGGTACATAGGCAGGAAGTAGGTCAGCATGTATGCTTGCTCCCAACTGGACGAAGGCAGGAAGAACTGTAGCCTTGTGGGTTCTGATTTTATGAGCACCTGGCTAACCTAATTCAGTGTCATTCTCCGGGAATATATGGGATTGCCCTCTGTATGCTGTGAATATATTTTATTAGCACTGGTTAATAAAGAGGCTGCTTTGGCCTATGGCAGGAAAGAATATATATAGGCAGGAAAACCAAACTGAATGCAAGGAGAAAGAAGGCAGAGTCAGGCAGATGTCAAGGAGCTGCCAGAACCTCACTGGTAAGTCACAGGTTCATGGCGATACACAGACTAATAGAAATGGGTTAATTTAAGATATAAGAGCTAGCTGGAAATACACTTGAGCCATTGGCCAAACAGCATTGTAATTAATATAGTTTTTGTGTGATTGTTTGGGTCTGGGTGGCCAGGAAATGAAAGCGCAGTCTCTGTTTACATAATGGCACCCAAACAATTGGGGCTAACTGGCGTGGCCCGACACCCACTTTGGCCCAGGATTAGGAAGAAAGTAGCTGAAAGCGAGCATGCCAGTTGCTCAGCACTCTGGGCAAACAACGAGATCAGGTCTGTTAGGCGGGCACAGGCAGGAGAGCATTGTGAACTCCCACTGCCACACACAAAGACACTTCCAGACCGCCCAGCATGCTGCATGGCAGATTTAGCTTTTACTCTGACAAAAAAAGGTCTGTGTTGTATGGTATTTCCCAGAGTTGATGTGTAAGCACGGCTCCAATCCAGCAGTCCCAGAACTGGCGGTAAACATATCTCCATCATATTATATTGAAAGCCCGAGAGAGGTGGAGCCAGCCTCCGTGACCACACTGCTTACCATTTTAAAAAAAGATCCTGGTCAGAAAAGGATTTCAGATACACAACAGGACAGATTCAGACATAAAAGATCTCTAAACAAGATATAATGTGTTTAAAAAATGCACATATGGAGAGAGAATAAAAGATTATAGACAGTTATAAAAAGAAAATAAAACAAAGTCTTTAAAGAGACAATAAATATAATACTGACACTCATAGGTTAAAGGAGTAAAGATAATAAAATATTAAAAAGTCATAGAGGAAAAGAAAAGGCACATAAAGATGGAAAATTACAGAGTCTGGATTATGTATATTATTGTGTTTTTTTTTTTGAACTTTCTGGTTTTTTTTTTTTAAGAAAGCAAACTATCTCTTTTCATTATACATACCAATCCAAGTTCCCACTCCCTCCACTCCTCCCATTCCATCCACTTACCCCCTCCACCCCTATCCATTCCTCAGAGAGAGAAAGGCACATTGCTTTGGGAAGGTCCAAGGCCCTTCCTACTGTATCTAGGCTGAGCAAGGGATCCATCCAAAGAGAATAGGTTCCCAAAAAGCCAGTGCATGCAGTAGGGATCAATCCCGGTGCCATTGCCAGTGGCCCCTCAGGCTGCCCCGGCCATGCAACTATCACCCACATTCAGAGGGACTAGTTTGGTCCTACGCTTGTTCCTTCCCAGTCTGGCTGATGTTGGTGAGCTCCCACGAGCTCCTGATCAAAGTTCAGATGAAGAGTGGGAAGAAGGAGAATATGACCAAAGAGGTCAAGGCCATGATGGGTACCCCCACTGAAACAGTCCTCAATCCAAATCCATCATTGTGAGGCCAAATCCTTCTTTTGGAGACTTCAAATGTCTCTGTTACACACAATCTTGCTTCAGTGCCGAAAACTTAAACATTTTAAATGTCATATGCAGCAGATCTTGAAGAGGTTAAAGGACCATAATTTATTACATACATCCAGAGTATAAAAACTTAATTCCTAGTTACCAGATACTCAAATCCAAAACCATCTACAGGAAGCTAGATGAAGTCTTTTTCTAGAATTAGCTGATACTCTTTATAACCATTAATATCATGACAGAAAGTTTAATATATATAATATACATTAATTTTATAAATTTAAGATGATATTTGTACCTTAAGGAAAGTTTTAAAGGGTCAAAATCAAAGTTATGAGATTAGTGGCAACAGAAAGTCCCTTAATTTTTGTTTTTCTTCCACCTCATATCGGGTGGCTCTTCTGACCTGAGACAGAGATTTTGTATTTTCCTTTAGCAAGCATGCTTGGGTTTAGAGAAGGAGAAAGCCACATTCCAACTCCAAAGCCAGCTTTAACTTTTAACTGGACTAGAACTACAAAAAGACCATTTGCATTATATGTCTGTAGAGAACAGCAGAAACAAACATTTGGGAAGATTTATGAAATTTTATCCTGTTGAAAATGTACCAATAGGCCAATTTACTCTTTTTCTTGGGACATTTTCTCTCAATGATTCATTTTTTTTCTTTAAATGTCTGATTTGTTCAGTGGTCTTCAGATGCCTTCATTCTTCTGGAAAGACAAGAATAAAACTCTTCCCCAACCCTAACTTTGGGAAGTTTCCCTTTTGGCAAGTTATATCTGATAAGATCAAAACAGCTGTTAGTCTTATAAGTTAGTTTAGATTGAAGGAGAATTGCTGTAAGTTCAAGGTTTGCATGGTGACTTCCAGGCAATCTGGGGCTACAGAATGATACCCTGTCTTAAATGAAGGAAGGGAGGGAGTGGGGAAAGGAGGGAGGGAGAAAGAAAGGAAGGGAGGGAGGGAGGGAGGGAGGGAAAGGAAAGGAGGGAGGGATCAGGTGATTTAGCAAGTGAAGCCTGACACCAGATGACTGAGGTTGGTCACTGGAACCCCCACAGAAGAAGACAATTGACCCTACATGTTGTGTTCTGACTTCTGCACGCAAACACACATTCACGCACACAGAGGAGCACACACTAAACAGATGTAATTAAAAATATTTTAGGGGCTTAAGAGATGGCTCAGCAGTTTAGAGAACTGTTTAAAACCCAGATTTGGTTCCCAGCACCCACCTGGCAGCTCAAAACTATTTGTAACTCCAATTCCAGGAGATATGACACCCTCTTCTGGGTTCTCTTGGAAGTAGACATACACACAGGAAACATTTATACACATTAAAAAATAAACTAATAAATCTTTAAATAAATATACTAAAATTTTAAAGGCATTTTCCTGAAGTACTAAATTGGATGATGCCAGTTTATACCATGATTGAATTCTTAATTGTCAGTTTGTCTAAAAGAAGAAAAACTTACATGAAATAAAGCTATTAACCAGCTGAATGTTTGTAGACACAAAGCCATGCATAGTTTTTGTAGCATCCCTATGGAATATAACTGCTGCATTCATGTGCAATATTGTAGGACTGGAGAAGGACATCCACAGTCTGGCCCCTTTAAGCAGAGATCCCAAGGCAGTTAGAATAAAATGTGTGTCTTAGGAGAGAACCCTTGAGAGCGGTTAACAGTCTAGACTGACTTTTAGCTGCTGGTGAGATAGAAATGTCCACCTACAATGTTATACTGATCTTTCTCCCAAGTTGCAGACTTCAATATAGTCAAAATACATTAGTGAAATTAAAATCATGATTGCAGAGGGTCTTTTGAGATGAATTAGAGTGCTGTCCAGTGCTTTGCTGTTGCAATCCTCTACAGTAACTAGAATAATACTTAGTTCCACCACATTTTGTTCAACCCATCACAACCTTGTATTCTCACAGAATGTGAACACTGTGAGAGTTGCTAAGGAGGCTGGCTGATATGATGACAGGCTCAAGCGCAGGATTTTCAAGCTCACAAACAAATCTAGCTGTTAAACCACACAAACAACAGACTACTAAAATGGGCCACATCTCTCCCTTCGTACCTTCAATCCTCTGAAACTTCCTGGGCTGGTTGGAGAGGAACTGGAGGACTTCGTGGACTTAGGAGTAGAAAGCTGGCTGCTGGGAGTCCCATTAACTGGCCAGGAAACAACAGAGAGACGGCCATCAGAACTCCAAACAACTCGATTGTGAAAACACCAAGCACATGCACAAAAAGGCTCCCATGAAGCTTTGCTTCATTTAAAGCCCAAAGCAGATAACAAATCAGCACAAAGCAAAAGCAATGTATCTTACTGCAATACAGACAAAGTCAGACAAGGCGTGAAATTAGAATTATTTGCAATAATAGTGTCCCAACAATGATATAAACAAATATAGAAGACAATCATGGAATTACAGGTGTGAGCGGGAGACACTGTCCACACAACCTGCCTTCCAGAAAACACAGACAAATGGCTACCGTGTGGTGAAGGTCTGTGATGACAGCCATTACAAACTGCCACTATCCATCTTTATCGTGATGTGTACCAATGTGAGTCACTGAGAAATGACTTTAAATCAACCAAATAACACTAGTGCATGTATGTATGCGTGTGTATCTGGTATGTATGCATGTGTATCTGAGTGAGTGAGTGAGGGGGGGGTGTGTGTGTGTGTGTGTGTGTGTGTGTGTGTGTGTGTGTGAGCCTTCCTTCCTCCTGTTCTGCTTTTGGTGCTGACTGGGCTAAGCTTTCCATACATGCTTTGCACATGCTCTGCCACTGAGCTAAAACCCTAACCTTTAACTATTCTTAATGGAAAGTGAAAGTAACTATTTCTTCTTATACTATTATTTAACTCAAGGCCATTAAAAGATAAATTATTCAAATACTTTTTAATATAGGCTAGTTATTTCTAATCCTCCCATTTTCTTCACATTCCTTAGCAAATGCTAGTAGTTTTCTATGTACTACCTCCTACACCTCCATATACCTCTTTGGTAGAAAGCTGAACAGACAGCCAATCCTGTTTGTAGGGGAGGTCGATCACAGACACGAGCCTGCTGGGTGTTGGTCAACCACCACAGTATCCTTCACCCACTTCCAACCCCATCATCCTGATCTATTTCTGCGGGGATCTCAGGAAGCTTTGGTTAATATCTGGGATTAATGGTTTGTTCTCCTCTGAAAAGAACTTGTAATCCCTCTCACTTCAAAAGCAGTCCTCAAAAGCTCCTGCCCAAAGCAGATGAAAGCTGCCACTCATCTTCGTGAAAAGCAGAATCCGGTTTTTTTTTTCAAACATAGAAGGCAGGCAGTGTTATTTTAGATCACCTGAATTAAGTGCAGAAAGTCAAATGTGAAGGCAGACATCCTGCACAGTTGACTAAAAGGCAGTGCCAGTTCAGAGTGGATCCGAGATTGTAGACCGGGGAGCATATATTAACAGTAAACCATTTGTGAGCAGGGATGGCTGTGTTTATGAAGTCACTTTTGTCTATTATTTTGTGTTTTTACAATGGGTAGATATGATATTCTTCAATATTTAAAATTTTTTAACCCACATTTTTAATTTTTCTAATTCTTTTTTGTTTGTTTGTTTTTATTTTTCGAGACAGGGTTTCTCTGGGTAACAGTCCTGGCTGTCCTGGAGCTTACTTTGTAGACCAGGCTGGCATCGAACTCACTAAGAGCCACCTGCCTCTGCCTCCCAAGTGCTGAGATTAAAGGCATGCGTCACCACCCAGTTAATATTCCTAATTCTAAATCACTTGATCAACATAGATTTTAGTGTGTGGGTGGGGGGTGCATGTGTATTTTTCCTTCATGTGTATGAATACATGTGTGAGGAGGACAAAGCCCTCCACTTTATTTCTCAAGACAAGATCCCTCACTGAATATAAACTCATAAATTCAGCTGGGCTGCCTGGAAAAGTGAGCTCCAGAGACCTATCTGTGTCCACCTCCCAGTGCTGGGATTATAGATGCATGGCTTTGCCCACCTTTATACAGGGTACTGGGATCTGAACTCAGGTCCTCACGCTTGCACAACAGGCATCTTACTGCCTGAGATACCTCTGCAGACCAATTACTTATTTCCTAAAGGATTTTAAGGCACTGCATGACACTGATGGTGGGCATTTGTTACATGAATTTGCCAAAATCACAGAATGCACAACCATCAAGAGTGATTTGCAGGTCATGAACTCTGGATGATAATAAAGTGTTGGATGCAACAACTGTGCTCTTCTTTATGAAGGTGGTGATAAGGGAGGCTGTGAGTGTTTGTGCAAAAAAGAGATCCAGGAGACCTGAATCTTTGGCTCAGATTTGCTGTAAGCCTGAAAACTGCTCTTGAGGAGTCTCTACAATCTCTTTCAAGGGATTCACATAAAATAGATCTTTGTGGGCAGATAGCTTCCTAGCTTGCAGGGAGTGGAGACAATTTCACTCACTTTTTAAAAACCCTTCATCCCACTCACAGATCTGTACAGGTCACCAAATCACATTCCACAAGCACTGTGGGCTTTCTTCTGGCACCACACTGAGAGCGAGGCTGCATTGGGAAGGTGGCAGAGTGGGACTAACAGAAAAATTAGTTCCTCGCATGGCCAGTTAAGGAGCAGACAGGTTTCCTAAAACTCTAGCTAAGGAAACTCACTGCTAGGGATTTAACCCACATCAGTAACTACACGTCCATCCTCCCGTCCATCCTCCCCCAGAGAGCTCCCATTATAAGACACTGACTCTCGGAGCCAGTGAGTTTTCAACAGCATTCTAAGAATCCTAATAAAATGTCCTTAATTTCCCTTACTTGTGCGTTTCTGTGAAATTATACAGAGACTAATTGTGGTCCTGAAGGTGCCATGTGACATCTGTTCTCTTCATGGCTGCATCCGCAGAAGTGTGGTGACCAGCTAGCATGTCCACAGCACACCCACTCCTCCACCACCTCCCCTAACTTCCTTCCAGGTGACTTTATCCCCCACTACAATTAAAAGGTAAGAAATTCATCGGGAAGGATTTCCATTTGATGGCTCTGAATATTTTTTACCTTTACAAACTATGTTTAAAGATTCACAACTAGAAACCTAAAACCAGCATTTCAAAAAAGTGGTGTGTGTGTGTGTGTGTGTGTGTGTGTGTGTGTGTGTGTGTGTACTCTGACTGAATGGTTACAAGTTTGTACAACAGAGGCCAGAAAAAGGCATCAAATATCCTCACCAACACTCTCTGCCTAGTCCCTCAAGATGGGGACTCCCCCTGTATCCATGATTTGTATTTTCTTTGCTATGTTGGAAAGCAGCAAGCCCCAGCAACCACGCCTCCACCTGACATCAGAACTGGGAACGCAGGCATCCGTAGGACACTTGGTTGTGCTAGATCTCACGGCTGGTCCTCAGCCACAGAGCGAGCACTCTTAACCACTCAGCCACCTCTCCGTTCTCTAAAAGCAGTATTTATAAGACTCAGATTATAGTTACACTGACTAAATATTATCTACTTTACTATCTGTGTATTTTAACGGAGTACTTAGCTATTTACACAGTTTTGTTGGAAGGTTACGTAGACTCAGAAACCTCTCTCAAAGCAGCACTTTCTATCCTAAAATTGGCATGAACAGTACTATGTTTATAAAGTTACTGTCTGAATTTCAGTTAATCCCTGCAGTCTTTGCTGCTGCTGCTGCTGCTGCTGCTGCTGCTGCTGCTGCTGCTGTTTAACGACAGCCTTGTTGCATTGCTCAGGCTCACAACTCTCCCAACCTTAGCCTCCAGAACAGCTGGACTACAGGTACCAGCACAGGAAAGCCTCTGTACAAACAAGCACTTCTGATAGTGTGGTTGTAACAGTACTCTCTGCCCTTTGGAGAGTGAAGAGAAAACACTACTGGTAACACAGCACAATTTAGAGTCACTGTGGACAGCCAACAGCGGCAGGGGCTTTCAGTTTTCTAAAGTGCTAAGCGTGTCTCCAGTGTCCTCGCCTAAAGACCATTTGCTTCTGAGATGTGTTTTTTCAAGTCTCACAACTTTCACTGAGGAGTCTGAGGCCGACACTATCCAAATTTAAATTTAAAAAAACCCTACATCATTTAAGTATTCACTAGGCTTTGTTACAGAATAGTAGATGGTCTGAAGGCAAATGTAGCCACAAAATGTTCAGTAAAATTTCCCTTCAGATCTCAGGGAACAAAGTTAATCACACCTGACTCTTGAGCCACTCTCTCTACTTTTATTTAATAATTTTCCTGACATGACAAACATCTATAAATCTGTCACCTGAAATCAAAAGCTAAGAATCACTGAGCCAGAAAACTATATCCAAACACATCTATGTTTCATTAGCTTTTCCATTTTTAAGACACTACAGAGTCAATACAATTTAAATAAGTTCAATATCAGAGAGATACCTTTGGTTAAAAAACCCAGTGTCAACTGTCACATATGTAGAAAGTCTGAGTGTAGAGCACTGTACGAAAACAATTGCTTCCCAACTAACAAGATGCAGTGTTGGTTGCTTCCTTTTATACACAGAAAACACTTCCTTATCCTACTCTGGCAAAGGCCATCATAAGTACTTTAAATTAGATTTTAATGATTCCCAATCCTTTAACACAGGGATCAACAAAGTGTGAGGTTAGAATTACTTCCGTATCTCTATTACTAACAAACTTGTTTTGTTTTTTTTGAGACAGGGTTTCTCTATGTAACAGTGTGTCCTGGAACACACTCTGTAGACCAGGCTGTCCTCGAATTCACAGAGATCCGCCTGTCTCTGCCTCCTGGGTGCTGGGATTAGAGGTGCATGCCACCACCGCCTGCCTCAGCTAACAAACTTTAGCTTTTCAGTCATGGAACACTTTCTACAGCTCACTGGAACACAGACATCCTGGAGGTGGCTGCCTCCCCCTGGATCACTGTGCTTTGACTACACAGACAGGCATTTAGGAATCTTCTTAGGTTACATGGTTCTGTACTGAGCAGGGAGGCTGAAGTGGCCTGTGCATTGTAAAACATTGCACATGGCACAGATGTCCACAGGAGAAGACCAGATACACTCATGGAAATGGAGCAAAGGAAACAAAAATGCAGCAAAGGACAGAAACAAAAACCCAGCGGAGTGACAAAGCTGTAAGACCCTGGCTCACCTGGGGATTTGGCTGTAGAATAGGCACTGGAGTGGCCAGCCCTCTTTACTGTACACACGCATATGCACAGAGCAGGAGGAGACAGTAAGGACAGTGGTTATTCAGCAGGTCTAAAAGACAGTAACACAGCCTGCCCTAGAGGAAGTGAGGCGGGTGCTGCAGTGGGAACAGCAGAGAGAATGACCCAGTCTGACATTTCAAACCTTTCGATGCCTCACCAGTCAAATCATCATTGTGTTTCAAAAAAAGTTTAGTTCACTCCAAAGGGCAGCAGGCTGGGCAGTAATAAAAATACTGTCTGTAAAAACAGATGTTTTTTCTCTAAAATCATTTCCTTAACAATAAATTAAATGAGCAAAATTATTTGTAATAGCTAATAATTCATCAAACCAACTTACCAGGATATAATTTGACTAGTGTTTTTAATGTTAAAAAATATCAGAACAGTATAAATTTTGACAAATTTTTAAGATTTGGATCTGAAAATTATAGAACTTAAGTAAGTCATCCTTTCTTAGAATAACCATTACTGCTATTACAACTGTTTGATGAAGAAAAAGACTATGGAAGTTTTCAAGGAGAAAAATTTTTGCATGGAACTGTGTGTGTTGCACCAAGAAGAAGTAATTCTAGGAAGATAAATATCCACAATTATGAAGCACAGAATTCAAAATATGGTATACAGTGCCCAGAATGTGAAATACATTTATGCACACATCAGTGGAAGATCGGACAGTGAGGCTATATACAAGAAAATGTGTCAGAACAAAGTCCAAGAGTTCCTTGAAAGACTTTTGCCTTTTGAAGACAGATCTAATTTTGTTTAAAAAAAAATCTTACTATTATTGTTCTAGAACATGGTTGCACACAAGCTGGTAAAGGCTGTTAAGTTCATAAAAATGTGGGAAAACCAAAGACAGCACCCCCTTCTAAGTTTTTCTGTTACTACCTGAAGCTGGTGACTTGCTGCGGCGAGAGGGCCCTGGGCTTTTGGATCCAGAATACTTAGCAGCTGAGACTCGAGAATAAGATGACTTCAGGACGCGGCATTCTGTAAAGAACAAAAGTGCATGTGTAGGTAAAGCAGATTTCAGCAATGACCAAAGGCATACCACATGCGCTATGGTTAGCTACCTGAAACTGTGTGTGTGTGTGTGTGTGTGTGTGTGTGTGTGTGTGTGTGTGTGTGTGCACATGTGCAATCACAGGAATGCAAGAAGTCAAGCCAGCCAAGCAGCCACCTTCCTCATCACTCTCCACCACATTGAGATAAGCTGTCACTGACCTCAGGGATTCTGTGGACTGGGGGGCACTTACACACTGAACACCTTACCAAGGCATCTCTCCAGCCCCGTGGTTATTACCTGACATTTTCTTTCCCATTCTGCCTTTTATTTTTCTAGTGCTGTGAATTGAATGGTGGACTTGGTGAGCTGCCAGCCCCTGAGCTCCATAAATTCAATGTATGGAGCAGCAGTTCCGAAAAGTACGTATCATATTTACCTCTCCAGTTAGACCACACATCTGTGACATGTCATTGTTTGGACTAAGTTCTTAATGAGCACAGGAACTCTACTGTCCTAAGTGAATGTATAGAATCATTCACAGTTAAACCACACGTTTATCTGCGTGCAGCTTGCAGCTTTTTCACAGGCAGCATAGACCGCAATTTAACGTCCTTTTCAAGTCCTTACTTTAAAAGGACAAAAACTAACTTATGGTCTCTTTACTATCTAGCTATCCATCTCTCCAAAGCATGGAAGAGCAAAAATGAGAAAAATAGCTTTAAACAAATAACACTGACCTTTCCATAAGCCACCAAATAAGACAGCATTTGGAGAACAGAACAAATTACAGCTGCGAGCCTCACTTCAGATTTGAGTAATTAAGACCACGGGTTTCTGCAGTCAGGCAGACTGGGGATGAGTCATGGCTTGACACTTGCCAGCTAGAAGGAAGACCCTGCTTATGTTCAAAGCCTCACTATTTCTCCCTAACATATTAGTGTAAGAATAAAATATGCTTCATAGGCTTGTTAAAAGGGATAAATCAGAAAACATATTGTTTTCTTCATTTACTTCAAAATACTTCAATTTATGCAAAAAGATTAAAATGAGAGTTAGTTTTAATCTAGCCCCTAAGGGTGGCAAATTAACAAGTGAAGTACAAATCAGGGGAATAATCACCAGGGGAGCCTAGTTAACATCTGAAAGGCTCTAATCAAAGCTAATATAAACGGGGCAGTTCCAGTTTCTGCTAAGCCATTAGCAATGTAGATTATGTTCCATTGTGTCTCAAAAGTGTGTTGTGGAGGTTGTTAAAACATTGTAGAGACACTGCCGCTCTGATGAGCAGATACCCCCAAACAGACCCCAATATCCAGGAACTTCAGAACCATATCCAGCTTTAAGAATTAGGGGGAAATTATGACTTGATCAAAATTAGGTTAGCAGAATTCCCTGCATTCTGAATGCTTTGTTTTTAAAGACGTAGCCTTAGCTGCCCGAGAACTCATTATGTGAACCATGCTGGCCTCAACTCAACTCACAAAGTTTGGCTTGTATCTACCTCCTAAGTGTTAGAACTAAAATTCTCCACCACCACACCAGGCCTTCTTCCATTCCTTCCTTTTTGCTTGGGGGGGGGGGATAGGGGAGTAGGTTTTCATATTTGTTTCCTTTGTGTGATACTTTCAGAAGTCTAAGATGGAGCTCTTAAGATAACACAATTGATTGATGTTTAAAACAAAACAAAAAACCTTTGTGCCTGATGAGTGTATTTGTGGTAGAATTCGATTTGAGATTTGCTCTCACTGTAAACACTTCACTATGTAATGATGGTGCTACAATACGGACAATAACAAAAATAGAAAGACATACATGGATCCTTAGCTATAGATGTATATTCATTCGCTTGACCGTCACAAAATCTTATAAAACATCCATTATCACTCCCATTTTTAAAGAAGGTGAAATAACTAGAAATTGAGAAGGGGGAAATCAATAGTGTTCTCTCCCCACCCCATGTTTAGAGGCTATCAAGAGCCATTATCAACAACAAAAAGCAAATGATCCAACTAGCTCTGATAAACTTACTACACATAAAGCAACAGTTGTCCTACCTACGCACGTGTGGTAAGCAATTAAACATGTTTTACTGTTATTGCTATGGTTAGTCCCACCTACAGTGACCATTCTACAAGACTGACTTAACTTCATTTGCTGTAAGAGTTAGAAGGATGCAGAGCCAGGACTAAATTATCTTCGGCTACCTTTTCCATTAATAACCATTTACTATACCAGTATCACTTGAAATCAATGAAATAATAGTTAAAAACTGTATTAATAGATTAGCCAATAAACAGGCATTTTCATCACACCCAAGAGATGTTATCTTTATAAATATATAAACAATTCATTTTTTTAAAAAAAGCTGTACACAAAATTGATGTAAAAAGAAATCTCAGATAATTGCCACGGACAATTTATTAATTATCCCTCAACATATGTTTCAGAGAGAAGGTCTCACTATGTTGCCAAGGCTGGCCTAGAGAGTTTCCTAGAGTCATGTGATCCTCCGGCCTCAGGAGGTGGAATGACAGATGAGCACCACCATACTGGGTCATCTTTCTCCAGTATTCCTATGTCCTCAACATCTTTGTCACTAAAGCCCGAGCCTTTTCAGGAGCTACAGAGACGGTCAATGAATTGCCTCACCGCTATGATCCAGGACAAAGTCATCTTGGGCATAACGATATTTTTCAGGTCCACATGCAATAAAAACATCATCATCACCAAAAAAGTCTTGCAGACAAGTAACCTGTAAAAAAAAAGAATTCAAGAAATCAGAAATATTAGAGTGCAGTAAAAGTCAGGAAAGTTAAATTCACCCACAGCACTGCAATGGAACCTGCTCACTTCGGTGTGCGTTTTCCAGAATTTCATTGCACAAAGCAGGTTCCCATGCTCCCTGACTTCAGCACAACAGAATGAAGGGTTCCTTCTGACCCCAGTACACCTGTTAAGCAAATGATTCCTTGGCAGATGTGGCAAAGCTGGATTGACAAAAGCCAAGGTTCCCCATTAGTAATTAAGTGATAAAATCTTATGCTGCTTTGCAACACCAGAAGGCTAGTGGTGCAGACACATCAGTGGAGGAAGCTTGGATACCGCCCATTTCTTCCAACTATGAAGCAAGACCCAGCTTCTGTATTTAACTTCAACATGCTCAGACCAACGCTTTAAAAGCATCCATCACCTTTCTCTCCTGCTAACCTTGCCTCTGTGGGCCACTTCAGGTGGTAATGGTACAGACTCCTTTATCTACACAATGCTCCTGGGAGTCATGGCCTCGTGCTTGGCTCTGCTCCCCACAGCAGGTCTCACTACTCAAAGGCTCTCAAGTATTTCAGCTCCTACATGGTTCACACGCGTCGTCTTCCCTGCGTGGGCTCCACCACTGTCCTGACACTGGCCATCTGACCTCCACTCTTCCCATATCCCCTAGCTTCAGTCACTGCTATCACAATGCCAGGGCAACCACATCATTTACCACCCTCGTTAGAAACTAGTGCCATTTCACCTGACCTTTCCGCCTTGTCTCTGACATATCCTCTGCTCACTTCTCAGCCATGGCACTGTGTTCCCTCCAGCATAGTAATTGTGGTTTGTTTTGGTTTTCTGTTATTAATATATGAGTCATATAGTGTCCTAGTTAGGTTTCCATTGCTGTGAAAATACACTCTCCAAAACCAACTCAGAGAGAGAAAGGTTTGTTTCACCTTACAGATATAGTCTGTATAAAGGGAAGTCAGCAGGAACTGAAGCAGAATCTTGGAAGAGTGTGGCTTACTGGCTTGTTCAGCCTGCGGTCTTATACAACCCAGGATCACCAGGCCCTGCCACACCAATCATCAATCAGGAAAACAGCCCACAGGGTTGCCTACAGGTCAATCTGATGAAGGCATTTTTTTTTCTCTTAGTTTTTCAAGACAGGGTTTCTCTGTAGCTTTGGACCCTGTCCTGTAGACCAGGCTGGCCTCGAACTCAGAGATCCGCCTGCCTCTGCCTCCCAAGTGCTGGGATTAAAGGCGTGCGCCACCACCGCCTGGCAATGAAGGCATTTTCTCACTTGCGGTTCCCTCTTCTCAGATGACTCCAGCTTGTTTCACAGTAGCGAAACATAACCAGCACAAATACTATACAGTCATCCATTCAAGTACACAATTCAGCACCATTTAATGCATTCAGAATTGTACAGCCATCACCACAACCAGAAGAGAAGTCTTGAGCCCATTAGCAGTCACTCCCCATGGCCTCTTCCATTACCTACATTAACACCCAAAGATATAAGGCACCTACACTCTCTGCCTTTTGCCTTTGGTTCTCTGGAGCACAGCTATTTTTTAAAACTGTGTTTTATTTTTATTTTATATGTATGTGTGTTTTGCCTGCATATGTCTGTGTATCACATGCATGCCGGATGTCCACAGGGGCCAGAAGAGAGTGTCATATTCCCTGGAACTAGAGTTACAGGTGGCTGTGAGTTGCTATATGAGTGCTGGGACTTGAACCTGTGTCTTCTGGAAGAGCAGCTGAGCTCTTAAACACTGAGCCATCTCTCTAGTGCCTTCTAGATAGTTCATATACATTGAATCACACAGTATAAGGTACTTCGTGATCGGCCTTTCATTTGGCTTATTTAAGGTTCTGAGTACTTAATTGTTTTCTATGGTTGTGTAACACTGTCTTGTACAGAAGCACCACTTTTTTTCTCTGCACACCAGCTGATGAACATTCAGTATTTCTGCCTCAGGGTTGGTTTTCATCACTAGTTTTCTCATGCGGTACCCCAGGCCTTTTATTATTTGTATATATGCATATATCTGTGTAGGGAGGGGTATGTGCACTTGAGTGTGCCTGCAGAAGCCAGAAGAGGATGTCTCATCCTACAGAGCTGGAGTTTCATGTAGTTATGAGCCACTTGACACAGGTGCTGGGAGTAAAACCCAGTTCCTCTACAAGAGCCACAACAACTCTTGACCTCCTAGCCATCTCTCCAGCACCTCGGAGGCTTTTCTGACCAACAAGTGACCAAGGATTTGTCCTATCCATTATCTCAGGAACTCAGGAGAGACTATGGCACTGTTGAATGTTTAACAGGTTTTATGATTAATTGAAGCATTGTGTGAGACTATTCCTATTGGAGCTGAGTATCAGACAAGAACAGCTTCTCTGGATGAACCCGATTTAAAATGTACATTATACATCAATCAGAAAAGAAACAAAAAGACTGGATTGTAAAAGGCTACGTATAAAGTATGGTGAGCTGGAGACTATCATCAGAGCAAGAGATGAGGATAATCTATTCAAAGGGAGTGAGGCAGAAAGAAGGGTCCAAGAAAGGCGAGATGAAGAAAAGTTAAGGCTTTTGACTTGTGTAACAGAAATTGTACAGCTTCCATTGGCTCCAACAGTAAAAAGGGCAAAATGAGTTTAGTGATAGACAGAATGATGCAAAATTCAGATCTGGAATAGTAACCGTGAAATGCCTACTGAACAGTCAAGTATAGGTGGTGAGGAGAAAGTAGAGTGTGAACAAATCCAAACTTCAGGAGAGAGGTCCAAGTGCAAGGGTGAATGCTGGATATACCAGTACAGATGGTCTTAGCCTCTAAACTCTTGCTCAAGTCCAGTAGTCCATGCACAAGAAAGAGGTCAAAGTTGACCCCCAAAGCTTAGCAACAAGCCAAGTTCAGAGGGAAGTTACAAAAGCAGAAAAAAAAATCAAGATGTCTACAATGAACCACGTCAAGAAAGTGTTTCAAGGGGCCTTAGTGTCAGTTACTGACAGGCCAAATAAGACGAAGATTAAAAATTAACAGCTGGGGACTGGAGAGATGACTCAATGGCTAAAAACATCGGCTGTTCTTCCAGAGGCCCTGGGTTCAATGTCCAGTATCCACGTGGATAACTCAAGGGCTCTGAGGGCAGCTGCATAGAATCCATGCAGACAAAACACCTGTGTACATAAATAACAATTAAAAAATAAAAAGAAAAAAAAATGACAACTCAGGTTAGCAACATGATTATCATTCGAATCTTGACAAAGGGAATTTTGGTGTATGGTGTAAAGGTCTGGCTGTGGAGGGTTTAAGGGGGTGGGAAGGACAGGCAGGGTGACAACTTGTCCCAAGAGTTCTGACTTAAAGGTGGGTCAGAGTAAGAGTGGGGGAGAGTCTAGATCAAGGGTCAAGAGACTGTTTGTTCTTCCAAGATGAGAAAAACAACCGCACATTACTAGTTGTATTGTTGTAAAGACCCATTAGGCTATGGGAAATAAAAAAAAAAAACACAGGGCTGCTTTGTTTATGAGAGAGAACGGAATCAGTGGGCTTTGGGCAACACCATGTAGGTCTTTTACAGTGAAGAGTGAGAGGGCATGGGCAGCTGGCAGACATCTAACAGATGGTAGGTGATTTTCCTTTATTCTCGTTAGTCTGCTTTACCTCTGGGGGCAGAGGTTTCCTAAAGGCTTCGGTATTCTCAGCGAGGGAGGAAACAAGCCTGGAGATGTGGCAGTTGTGGGAGCCAGAAGCCTGAGATCTGGGCTGCTGGGGAGGAGACCTAACGAATGCCTGCAAGGCAACACTGAAGTCACTGGGGAACGGGAAGCCTGAACAGGAGAGATTCTCAATTGTGAAACTAGAAAGATGCTTCAGCCTGTAGGGCATTTTAGAACAATCAAACCCTCTTTTTCCCACCTTTTGTGATAGAATTAGCATTTCAAGGGCTTATATCTCCCTAGAAATGGAAGAAAAGGGTGCTAAGAACACAGATGATAAAAATAAACTAGACACAAGAACAAAACCTCTTCTGGAATGTTTTCCTGAGGTTCAGACACTGAGAGGTAGGAGCTGGACAGGTCGTTTCTACAGGGGTTGCAGGAATTCGGAAGCCATGCTATAGGTCAGGCCAGTGAAGCCTGGGATGGAGCAACACTTCCTATTAAACCTGAAAGGAAGAACAACAAAGCAAAACCCACAGACAGCACTGATGACAAGAAAGAAGGCATAGGGATTCCTTTCCCTAACACTGTTCCTTTAGAGTACAGGCCTCTGTTCACATTTTTTCACAAAGTAGACTCGGACTACTATGCTAGGTTATCATTACTCTGTTTAAACTGTAAACCAGAATGCATAGAAATAAAACAGAGGGGCAAGGTGAGGGTATAGTTGAAAATGGATAAAAGCCCGTATTCATGGAAGGCCACGAGTTCCAGCTTCCTTCAGTGCTGTTTCAGCACAGGTACAAGCCCATGGAGAATGGGATAAACACAGACTGTCCAAGGAACAGACCTGAGCACTGAGCCCACTGCCACCAATGCACCCCATCTACCCACATACAAACATCCATGCATGTGCATGCATGCGCACACACAGAAAAACGGCATGTTATAACGTGACTTTACATATTTCTCATACTTCCATATTTGGTCAATCAAGTGCTACTTAGACACTTTACAATATACTTGAATTCTGAGGGATTTTTTTCTAATTTTCATTTCTCTTTAAAAACTGAGATTTACACATTGAGGTATGATACACATTATAAATCTGTGTCAGACAATATCAATATTGTAAATAAAAATTGATTCAACAAGAGTGGGAAGAAAAATTTACCCAGCTAGAAGATCTTAGCTTGCTTCTAAATTCTTTAATTTAAGGAATTTAATTCTTTCAAGAAGCCAAGAAGCTCTTTAGGAACAGCAAAAGTTATGTGGCTTGTGAAAGAAAGCTACAAATATGGGGGGCAGTGTGT